TTACTTATATAAAAGTATTACATAAAAAGAGATAAAATATTTTTGACAATTATATTTTTTTCTTAAATTTTGTGTTATTATAATTGTAACTTAAACTTTAAAAAATTACAAAATCTATAAATTCACTAGTTCTTTTAAGTTTTATTTTATATATCATGCAAAAAAATATTTTTGCAAAGCAAATTTGTATCAAAATCTTTAGATTATTTGTACTAATTAAAATGGATGAGATATCCGTAAATATCCGTAAATATTCGTAAATATCCGCAAATATCTATTTATTTTCCGGATATCCGTTTTTCCGGATATCCGTATTTTTTCGAAGCAAAGCAAATACCAAAATTAGATATCCGTAACATTCGAAGCAAATCACAAATACCTTAAAAAACCCGGATATCCGATCCGTGCCCACCCCTACTTGCGACTTGGTAAGTACCAGACAGATTGTCCGAGTCTGGATAGAGTCGAGATCAAGAAGAGACGTGACACAAGATGGTTTGCTCGCATCTGGTAATAACACACCGATAAGAGTAATCAAATTAAGATTAGTATTTTTTTTCCTGACAAGAGATGGTTGGGCCGAACCGGCCCACTTTCGTCCTCGCCAAACGAATAACTTGCCTATGCTTTTGATATTCACTTAACCTTTTCAGAAAACTTCATTGATTCTAGAGTTTATCGTGCTTGTTTCAGTGTCAAATCATGTTCTATAGAAATTCTTTTTCTTGGTGTTACCTACTGTTTTATTCTCATCATAAGTTTTTGCCGATCAACATTCTACCTCTAGAGATAGTCTTTAGTTATCGATCTCTGACCTCCTCTTATCGGTGCATCAACACCGTTTTATTTGGGAATCATCAATTGCACTTTCGAGCAATAGTTTTCGGGTCTCAAGTGAAGTGTCTCGTTAAATCTTTTCACCCATAAAACATATCTATATTTTTTTCGTTGAAGTAGTTTTCATTAATCAGTTTATAGTCGAGATTACTATGGTTGTATCCTCTCTAGCCTTTTAGACATTTAGACTAATATAATTGTTTCAGTGATAAAAGAAACAGATGATTGTTTAGTCCGGTTTTATGAGATCTAAAGCATGTTTTCATTTTTATTTGTCCAAGTAACAATACTTTTAATTATCGGTACGAATAGAAAACCTATGAATTTATGTTGTTTCAAGTCAACTTTTACTATTTTTTGTTTTGAATAAAATGTTAAATTTGATTCAAAAGAAAATATACTTAATTACAACAATTGCCACTTTGTTTATGACTTTTTCAAATAGAGGAAAAAAATAAAATAGAAAGACTACGTTTCCACGGCTGCAAGGAAGGAATGCTCTTCTGGTTTCTTATCATGCTTGAGTGACATAATCATGTTCCTAACCATCTGGTCAATCATTCTGAAAAGGCTCTCCTGAGTTTGGTGACTCCCTCCCATGCTTCCTTGAATTTCTTTCCCTCCAAATTGAATAAATAGCCGACTGAAACGCATAGCAAGCAACAAAGGTCTCAACTCGCGAGCACTTCGGTAAGTTCGGTTGTGACATAAAAATCAGAACAGTATTCCACTCATTCGTGCAACAGCTTCCCATGATTACCCTCATCAGCTTTTTCCAAAAAATCGAGGAGTAGGTACACTAAAAAAAAAGATGATTATGTGTTTCAAACTTTTGTTGACAGAGCATACATCATCGGTTCCTAAGTTCCAAGCTACCATCCGATCGCCCGTAGTAAGACGGCTACGAGTAGCGAGCCAAGTACAGAACCTGAACTTAGGCGTAGCATGGCTGAACCAAATGCTCAGCCACCTTTTCACTCGTGGATCGTACGTGATTCAAAGTATCACACGTACTGAACTAAGGTTTATATATGTCGTGTTTCCCCCTACAAAGAACCACATCCTCTGCATCAGAGTGATGTAGTGCGTTGAGCTGCTGTTTAATATTCGTGAGATTTTCTTGCTGATGGTTTCTTCTTCTTCTTTGCGTCCGAGCAGTTTTTATTGTATCATGTTTTCCAATTCTGTAGGAGATGGGTTATATCCCTCCACAAGGCCCATCAAATGAGGAAACTTAGCCCAGAATGATAATATACTCGGCCCACCGGGTAACACCAAAACGACTCGGTATGAGACGCGTTTAGTAGCGCGACTAAACGTGTTCTAGAAGAGTCGGTGGAAGTACGATTTACCCGAACTACTAAACGGGCCTAGCAGTAATAAGGCCCAACAAGGCTCGGGTAAGTTAGGGCGAACACGAAGATTGGATCTATAAAAGGAGAGAGGCAGCAAAGGGAAAAGGGATCGGGAATTCTACATACTCACTTGGCGGCTAGATCTAGGGTTTCTTAGCGATTAGGTGGTTAGATCTAGGGTTTACTCACCTTCCTGTTTAGTCACCTTCCCGTTTACTCACCATCTTATACTTCCGGCTAGTCAGCCTCTTTACTCTTCTCTTTGTAACTCATTGTCCAGATCTAATAAAACGTCTTTGTTCGCCCTCATCTCTCTTTATATTGTTCGAACCATTTTCACCTCAAACAAATTCCCATGTCAATTTGCCCCCTTGGACCAATTGTTTCCATCAGGCAGCCCTCCGAAGACCACTGATCGTATCAGAAAGAAGTTGATTCCCCATTGTTGACTTCCACTCGGCAGAATTGTCGAGCACGAGTTCAGGTTTTGAGTATTTTGCGCCAGATCCACGAACCTTTGTGGTCATTTTCCTTAACTGACCAGATTGACTCAATCTTGAGAATGGTGGAATTAATCCATTGGACCCAGAGAGATGAATCACTTGAGATAAGTCTCCATAGGAGCTTGAGAAGAGTAACCTTAGCTCATTTCCTTAAGATAAAGCAAACTAACTCCACCTTCTTCTTTGGGAGGATATACTTTCTCCCAAGATAGTTTCGCTTTTCTAAGATTTAGATCACTGTCCGACCATAAGAACACAAACCAAGTCAACCTTTACTATTAATCTATGCTACTCGGTTAGATTAAGTATTTTGGATAATGATAAGCTCTTGTGGAAGCTTAGAGATATTTTATATAATTTGAGTGAACTTGAAAAACGTATAAATGATTGCATAATTTTAAAGATTTGATAACCAAGATATATGAATTTTTGTTCCATATATTCATGTGAATATATATAACTTTATCCGTTGGAATGAATTATCTATCTTATTAAAGTTGTAGTACTCTTTAGGTTTGTTTGGAAACTTAAATAGTAGTAATAAAGAGTTTAATGTTGTTTGGCTATAAGTTTAATAGAGTTGGGCTTTTAAACATTGTTATAATAGAATTGAGCTTTTGTTTAATTTATTTTATGTTATGGTTGGCTTTAATCATTTGGCCCATTGTAGTAATTTGTGTATTTAGTTTATATTTTATATAAAGACCATATTCAATTTTATTTATTGTTGACTAAATTAAAAATAACATCAGTTTTTAAGATAATAACAATTTACATTTCATCTATCTTATTAAAGTTGTAGTACTCTTTAGGTTTGTTTGAAAACTTAAATAGTAGTAATAAAGAGTTTAATGTTGTTTGGCTATAAGTTTAATAGAGTTGGGCTTTTAAACATTGTTATAATAGAATTGGGCTTTTGTTTAATTTATTTTATGTTATGGTTGGCTTTAATCATTTGGCCCATTGTAGTAATTTGTGTATTTAGTTTATATTTTATATAAAGACCATATTCAATTTTATTTATTGTTGACTAAATTAAAAATAACATCAGTTTTTAAGATAATAACAATTTACATTTCAAATAATTTAATACTCAAATATATTTTATCTAAAATATTTTACATTATTCAAATTATCATAAAGACACAAAATATTTGAATAGTTTTAACTAAAATATTAAAATTTTATTTTCGTAACTGGATATTTATCCGAAACACCTATCCCCCCCCCAAAATCAGTTTTACCCCGATTAATCTAAAATTAATCCTAGAAATCATAACCAAACCGTTATCATATTGGAACCAAAAATTTATCTGATATTAGTCGGTTATTATAATTATTACCAAACTCAGCTCAAACCAAACGAATCGAACCGGATGCAAATCAATTTATATAGATAACAGAACAGATCTTATATCTGTAGAATTAAAAAAACTACGAACATAAAGAATCCAACAAAAATTAAATCAAACCCTGGTCCTATTACATTCAATAGGATCATAGTTTTTGAAATACGGTAATAACCGATGACTTATGAATATATTATACTTTTTCAAATTAAGTTAAAACCGCGCCGGTGCGCGGGTCAAAATCTAGTTTTGATTATGAACACTATTTGTTGGAATCAACTTATCTTGATCCAAACGGATAACTTTAATCATATAGCATAACATATTGACGTCGTGTCTAGCTGATCAACACGCAAGACTCGTGACGGCCTCCTAGAGCAACGAAAATGGTGGACCAGGACCAAGTGTCCCAGCCGGCAGAAACAGTTCTGAGGCCTAGCTGCATGTGACGATGCCTTTAATTAGACAAGTCTCTTAATTCTCTGATCTCATGTCCTTCTCACCAGAATCTACAAAAAAATGAAATTCGTCGGTATAAGAAAATGTATTTGACGTTTGGCCATGCCGATTGCCATATAGCCATTTCCTTATTACATATGTGTCACACAAATGGTGTTCTCGCCAGACGGAGATATCCCTCAAAAAATCGGTTCGTGTAACCACCACTTAATCTATCTAGATGGATTGCTGACAATAAAAAGTATTCTCGCCAATTATTTGTCCAGTTTCTTGTTTGATTAGATGTTTTCGTGTTATTTGCAAAAATA